GTCGGCGACTCCAAGATGCAGTGCGGTTCTACCCTCGTAGTCTTGCCAGTTGATCACGGTCGGAGCGATAGCCTACAACAACGGGAGCAGTTACAACTTTAATATTTTTTTAAATTCGCAGCCGCTCTCTGCAAATTAACAAACTCTGCAAAATTAACAAAACTCTGCAAATTAAACAAGCAGGGAATTTGCACAAACGAGCTGAATTCGCTCTCGAACAAAGGACCAAGACCTTAGAGGTATTCAGTGAAATATGCAGAGCATCGGTAAACAGATCGTTTTTAATTCCCTAATTGCATCGCAGAGCAAGCCTAGCAAAACGAGAGGCTATAGCATCTCATTATAAACCAAGCTGAGCAATTCTAGACCACGGCCTTCCCTTCCAGTAAGTCTCTTCTCTTCATCTACAGATGAGAGCAATGCACACGATTTGCGTAACAGCTCCTTACTAACACGCGCAGCCAACAGCCCTCCAATACTGTGCGTTACCATGTGTTAATATTACGCGTTATTAGTCATATTGACACCCACCGCGCCACAGTGACACCCGTAATAGTGCCGCCATCAGTGCCGCACGACCAGATATGCCGCCATTGTCGCCATGGTCTCTCTGCCACTGTCAATACCATCGCCACCACCGCTACCCCCTGGCTACCGTATGTATGCTACCGTGGCCACCACCGCTACCCCCCGAGGGAGCCACTAGGTCTACACGCGGTTCCAGTACATCCATCTCGACACAGTGAGTCTTGCAATCACGTCACGCATAATTGCGAACGGCGGACCCTCTGCTGATTGCGATGTGTGTGTGTGACGGCTGTGTAGAGAAGCAGAAGAGAGAGAGAGAGAGCAATGAGTATGTGATGTGTGGTTATCGTGAAGAATAGAGAGAGAAAGAGATGAGGCGAGAGAGAGAGAGAGAGAGAATGTGTATGTGTGATGGTGTATGCGTGAGAGAGAGAGAGAGCTAGAGGTGTGTGTGTGCCACGTGTGGTGTGTGTGGTGCGCGTGAGAGAGTAGAAGAGAGAGAGAGAATGTGTATGTGTGTGTGTATGCGGGTGAAAGAAAAGAGAGAAAGAGAGGAGAGAAGAGAGACGAGAGAAAATGTTATGTGTGTGTGTATCTGAAGAGAGAGAGCACTAGAGGTGTGTGTGCTGCACGTGTGTGTGTGTGTCGCGTGTGTGTGTGTGGTGATGTGTTGAGCAGAGAGAGAGAGAGAGAGAGAGAGAGAGAGAGAGAGAGAGAGAGAGAGAAGAGAGAGAGAAGAAGAGAGAGAGAGCAGAGAGAGAGAGAAAGAGAGAGAGAGCTAGAGTGTAGA